AAACAGGGATAAACACCTGCAATCATAAGTAATAATTCATTCATTTGCGCACTTATTTCATAAAACCTTTAAACTCAATCTAAAATAAATACTAACCTTATCGACCTCCCACCATGCAGGATAAAGTTTAGCTTGTCCATTGCCCAAATCAAATGATTCATCTCGTGCATTCTTCAAGTGAACGGCGTGAAAAGACGTCGGCATTATTGTATATCGTATATTTTTATTTTTCTTAAGTTTTCTTATTATTAGAAGACGTGTCACCCACGCATCGATATGCTGTTTTACAAAAAAAGACATATATTAGTGACTTACATAAATTTTAAAAAAAAATTAATCAAATTGAAATATAAGAAAAATATAAGACTTACCCCCCCATCGAAATAGCCATTGTCTTCGACCCCTAATAATACGCCCCACCAAGGCCGTTCAAGCAACAAAAAGATATCATCGGTGAGCTTGCATATGTCAGTGAAACACCCCTTGCTCCGCTCATGTAGATAAAAATCAACTGCGGTCTTAGCCCAAAGGGTGTTATCCAAAATTGTGTCCGGTAGTTGTTCCCTCTCCTCTTCAGATACCGGTATGGTACTGGCCGGTAACTCATACGAGAGCCAACTTGAATCCATCATGTCCGGCACGTCAGAGGGTTTCTCAAGAAGCCTACATATGACGCCATGTGAATCGGGCTCTTGAATGGTGGGAGGGACCTCTTCAATGATGACAGTGGCCTCTTGAACGGTGGGAGGGGACTCTCGAGGAATGATATGGGGGGCCTCTTCAACGATAGGAGTGGACTCTTGAGGGATGACAGGCGAGTCGGGCTTCTTCTTGCGGTGTCTTCGCACTATTGGGGTGTACGGAGACTTAATAGCACGTGCACGCTGTCTGATGCGTGAACTCCGTCGTGCAAGCATAACCCGACGTAAAGCATCCACTCTATCGGGCCGCTAAATAATTAAATACAAAAATCAGTAAATAAACAGACATGATATTTAAACAGTGAAAACAAAGACAAATATGTTTCAAACTTGCATTGTATTCACCCAAGTCATTATTCTATCATAGTTCACAAAATGCATCAGATAACAAAGAAAATATGTTTCAAACTAATACCCTGAAGTTAGTATTTATCTTTGTTTTGTCTATTGGTTGAAGTAATGCAATCCATTCAAGTTTCAATTTGCAGAAGAAGAAATAGTTTACTTTCGCAACACGAAACTTAAATCGCAACGCGAAACCAAAATCGCAACGCGAAATGAAAATCGCAACGACAGAATCGCAATGCGAAATGAAAATCGCAACGAAAGAATCGCAACGCGAAATGAAAATCGCAATGCGATTTTGGTTTCGCGTTGCGATCTTGTCGTTGCGATTTTGGTTTCGCGTTGCGATTCTGTCGTTGCGATTTTCATTTCGCGTTGCGATTTTGGTTTCGCGTTGCGATTTTAAGTTTCGTGTTGCGAAAGTAAACTATTTCTTCTTCTGCAAATTGAAACTTTCAACCAAAAGACAAAACAAAGACAAATACTATTTCACAGTGTTAAAGAATACACAGTTTAGCAGAATTGGCAGCAACCGAACAAATTTACTTTCAACCAAAAGACAAAACAAAGACAAATACTATTTCACAGTGTTAAAGAATACACAGTTTAGCAGAATTGGCAGCAACCGAACAAATTTACTTTCAACCAAAAGACAAAACAAAGACAAATACTATTTCACAGTGTTAAAGAATACACAGTTTAGCAGAATTGGCATCAACCGAACAAATTTACTTTCAACCAAAAGACAAAACAAAGACAAATATATTTCACAGTGTTAAAGAATACACAGTTTAGCAGAATTGGCAGCAACCGAACAAATTTACTTTCAACCAAAAGACAAAACAAAGACAAATACTATTTCACAGTGTTAAAGAATACACAGTTTAGCAGAATTGGCAGCAACCGAATAAATTTACTAAGCAATCTAAGTGAAATGGCTAATCTAAGTGAAATTACGAGTAAATTTATCATTAAGTTAAATATGGAAAATCTTAAACTTACCTCGTTGCGTAGAGTATGAACCTCATTCTGCAACGATACTATCATCTCACGTAGAGCGGCAACCTCACCACGTAAAGTTGACACCTCCACACGCCATGCACCATCGTTATCGCGTAGAGTACCGATCTCCTCACGCAAGGCATTGACCTCATCACGTAACTCCCTTGACTCATCCCGTTGAGGTGGAGGTGGAGAACAGGGAGATAGGAGTCGTGGCATCTTTGCCGGTCGCCTATCATGAGGTGATGGTGGAGAAGAGGCTCGATGATGTGACGGGATAGGTGATGGCTCTCGTTCTAGAGGTGTATAGTCGGTTCGATCGGGTGATGGCTCTAGGTGAGGTGATGGCTCTCGAATTGGAGGAAGTGGATGCTGCTCATCATCCGTGCCATCAAAAAAATTCTGACTAGCTTGCCACCAATCAGTGGCAAGCTCTTCCTCCGTGGGTGTCAGTCTTTGTAATGGAATGTTGGCCTCCTAAAATATAAAAACTCAAACAAAGTTAAACGTCTACTATTAATAACTTGTTTATATATTATATGAAAGTATTTGTGTTAACTTACATTATTTATTGTGGCATATGGTATTAAGTCTTCCCAATCCAACAGAGTTTTCCTCTTCCAGGAAATAGCCCTGGGAATATCATTTGACGTTTTTATTGCATATGTACGCATGCTGGGGAAAGCCTCGAATATCCAAATCTACAAACAATATAATAACAAAATTAGTAATTGTTAAATAATTAATTATAATTTTAGAAACATTATATAGAAATTCTTACCTTAAAGGCCCAAACAAAGCCTGACAAAGTGTATTTGGACCCATCGCCCCGCAAACTTTTGCGGTCATCAAAGGCAGACGACAACTTAGTCCAGGTAGCTTTCCATATATACGAACCCCACGGAAACAGATTCCATGCATTCAGGTCCTCTACCAATATTATTAGCTCCCGATGAATAGGTTGTCTGGCCTCTCTGCCTAAAAAGCCGGCATACACAAGTAGTAGAAGGCATACTCGGACAACATCGACGTCTTCCATCCGAGTGAAACCAGCTTTCTTATTAAATAATTTCTTCAGGTCGTCAACATGTAGGTTCGGCTTCTCCATTGACTCATCCGGAAAAACCCGGGATAACCATGATGGGCGGGCGATATGACGAGTGTACCGGCCTACATCATCGTGTCCGAATCGTAGACCAGTGATTAAGCAGAACTCCTTCCGCCCAAAGCAAGTATACGCTGGTGGAAAATGAAACCATATCTCTTCCTCACCACGTTGTATACTGTCGGGTAGATTTGATGTCATGGTCTGAAGCCACAAATGGGTCAAATTAGCATCTCCACCCGGATGCTGTACTCTCAGCCATGGCCCGAAGCAGGTTTCCTCAAACAATTGTCTTTGAGCAAGTGAAAGCTTCTTTGCAATTGTAGTGGCCAGGCTGACTTTATTTCTCAAGGTCAATTGAGCCGAAAAAAATTTCTACAAAAACAATAAACATACCAAGTTAGATATACCAAAAACTACACTGTGAAGATATACCAAAAACAATAAACATAAAAAGTAGTAGTTTATTCTTGAAACTAAAATTTGCAACACTGTTTTGTCTTTTGGTTGAAATGAAAATCGCAACGAGAGAATCGCAACGCGAAATGAAAATCGCAATGCGATTTTGGTTTCGCGTTGCGATTCTCTCGTTGCGATTTTCATTTCGCGTTGCGATTCTCTCGTTGCGACAGTCATTCTCTCGTTGCGATTTTCATTTATCTCGTTGCGACTCTTCTGCAAATTGAAACTTGAATGGATTGCATTACTTCAACCAAAAGACAGAACAAAGACAAAGACAAATACTAACTTGAAAATCGCAACGAGAGAATAGCAACGCGAAATGAAAATCGCAACGACAGAATCGTAACGCGAAATGAAATCTAAGTGAAATGGTTAATCTATTATTGAAATGACCAGTAAACTTATCATCAGTTTCAATATGAAAAACCTACAATAATGCAAACATTTCAAAATAAAAATAATTAAAAAAACTAACCCTCGGAGGTTGATTTTCCATTTCTGAATATTGTGAGGGATTTCTGACCGTGAATGGTTGTGAGGGATTTCGCCGGAGATGGGGACGGAAATCTTCGGAGATGGGGACGGATTTCTTCGCCGTAGAGAGTGAGAGATGGAGATGGGACTGAGTTGTGATTTTAGGTTTTAGGTTATGAGTTGCGATTACGGGATTTTGTCTTAATATTCTTTTTGTAATTTGAAAATAAAATACGCGTAGCGATTATAATGGCGCTTTAAATATCGCGTTGCGATTTACGGATACGCGTTGCGATTTTATGTATTATCGTTGCGATTTACGGATACGCGTTGCGATATACGGATACGCATTGCGATTTACCCATACGCGTTGCGATTTACGGATACACGTTGCGATTTACGGATACGCGTTGCGATTTATGTGTTCGCGTTGCGATTTTCATATTCGCGTTGCGATTATGGAAAATCGCAATGCGAATTTGTACTATCGCATCGCGATTTTCAAGAATCGCGTTGCGATTTTGGAAACTGATTTGCGATTCTGGAAACTGATTTGCGATTCTGGGGATCGCGTTGCGATTTTTATTTCGCGTTGCGATTTTGTTGGTCATTTTGGCAAATCCAAAAAAAATTGGTTAAAATCGTATATTATAACTTTTTTTTGGTCACTGAGGCGATTTTCTCTTTTTTTAATCTTGTACCGTTTACATATTTTAAATTTAACACTGAAGATCAATAAAATTGTAGTCATGTAAGACAAAAAAAATAATTTTCTATTTTGAAATTTTAACCTTGAATTCAGAATTGAGAATCTGATTAATGTTTACGTATTTTTCGTAAATTTCTCTGGTTTAATAGAAGAATTTTGATAGTACTATAATTGGATTCCAATAATTAAAATCGAACTGAATCGGTGGATAAAAAGTAAGAGTTCCAAATCTACACGTACGGGTAGCATGGGTAAAACTTGAGGCTACCTCTTAAGTTGTCCAGTCTCCGTCTCCGATGAATATTGCGTTCCAAGCGGAGGGATGTATGTTTCATGGTGAGTATTCTCTCTTTATTCTTTTCGGCTTTTGATTCATCACCGTGTGCAAGATCTGCCCACTTCAAATTCCAATTTTTAGATGGTTGAAAACTACTCTCTTCTTTTTTGTTTTAAAAGTATTTTGTCCAGAGCTACTAGAAAATGGATCAGTTATTTTTTTATCTTCACTTTGGCCGTTTCCTTTCAGGAATGGCCTCGAGAGCATCTTTCTTTTCTTTTCTTTTCTGTCTCCCTGGTCCCTGGTTTCATTTGATGAGCATCTCCTCCTTTCTTTCTTCATACGGACACGGCTGCCGTGTGGTTGGTTCTCTTAAGGAAAATTAGTTTGGTTAAAACCACGAATTACAAATCGTAGCTAGGAGATCTGAGGGCTTTTTGTCATGACATGCTGTGTTCTTGCGTTATTTGTGTAATCGGCTTATAATTCTCCCCCAAATGATTAACTAGCAGACTAGCAGTAGTTTAGTTTAGGTAAATAATTGTGGTTTGTTGGTATTGTTCTCTGCTTGACTACAGTTTACAAGTAATTGATGGGTGCTACTTGGCCTGTAATATGCTCCTTGGCCTGTAATATGCTCCATGGAGTCGGACTTTGTGATTAATAGTTGTTGAAGTTGTTTTAATTGCTTCATTTATTTTTTTGGTGATCATTTAATTCCACTTCCAAGTGTTTCTCATGGTTGTGCCATATGTGTTTGTTCCGTCTATATGACCATCTTCGTCTTCTTCAATTACTGTTGTCTGTAAGCCAGGCCTTTCAATGTTCTGTTTCTTCTAATCCCGGCTTGCAATTTATGCGATTTCGTAACCCTTAATGCTTCACCTTGTTATCATCGAGTTAGGAAGTTTTTTTTTTTTTTGGGGGGGGGTGGTAGGGGGTTTAATCTGATGTCGCATGCGATGAGAATCATTGCATCAGGTAGTTTCCTTGATCTTCATTTTGAAACTCCATTGTTGGTTCTGCCTACCTGTTCGTGTTTTTGTCTATTCCTGAACCTGTGTATTCGCCTTTGTGAAAATTATAAGCTTTACCACCATAAAAGACCACATCTATCATTAATGTTTCAGCTAGTGATTGGCTTTTTTCCTTTATGAAATTTGTGGTGAAACGTTTTAGATGCTGTCTGGATTATTAGATTAGTTGTATGCTATGAATATTCTTACACTGGTTACAAAATAACTGATTATAACTATAAACAGCCTCGCTATCTAATTTTATGGTTTTTCAGGTTCAGTAAATATGTTTTAAACTAGAGTTTCTTCCAACACGAATGCAATCCACTATTCGATTGTGGTTTTCTTTTTTTCCCCAATGATTTGAATCTTGTCTTGAATATGTGACGACTTACTCGGGTTTGTGATTTTCGACTACAGTATAGAAAAGTTTATGCTACTTCTGCTGTTGCTGTCATTGTTATTGCAATAGTGGCCTATATGGCATGTTCTATAGAATTGCTTGGTTAAGACTTTTAAGGAATACACATGCGGTTTACAGTTGGTCTGATGGTATCTCCGTGTATTATATTTCTTGTGTTGCATTTTACCAATACAATAGCATCCAAGATTCCTATGAACATATATTCCCGTTCATATGCAAGCTGCAATTGCATGCCAATAAAGCTAAAGCACAGTATTTTGTAAACAGAAGAGAAAAGCCAAAAACTGAGAAATAAAAGTAGCTCTCTCTGCCCCTCTCATTAACAGATTCTGTTGATCAGACTGCATCGTTGATGGAGAAAAAGACTGACACACTACTGGAGTAAACTTCTCGACCCCCAATTAACCGAAATGGAAAGAAACATACAAAGTTCCCTAAACAAGGTATCATTTGTATCGATCACCATAGCCACACTTATTACCATATCCCTCTTCCTTCAAACACCAAAAACAAGCATCTCACCTATCACTCCCCAAAAGCCTCGCTTGAGGTTCCCTAACTCCACCTGTGACTCTACCCCTCGCCACTACCTTCCTCTTTCCAAAAAGAATGATCGGCTCTGGTCCTCCAAATCTTGGATGACTCAGGTCTCATCCTTTACTCAGTTCTTCACCCAACTGAACCATATGGGACTCCTAAAGAAGCGCTCCAAGGTCCTCTGTGTCTCTGCTGGAGCCGGCCACGAGGTCATGGCTCTATCTAAAATGGGTCTTGAGGATGTCATAGGTGTTGAACTGATAGAATCCTTGCCTTTGGTTAGCAGAGCCAATCCACATAATCTTCCCTTCTTTGATGGGGCTTTCGATGTTGCCTTTTCCGGTCATTTGATGGAGGCCTTGTATCCTATGCGGTATGCAGGGGAGATGGAAAGGTCAGTCAGAAAAGGCGGACTGTGTGTAGTGGCTGTGGATGAATGTGGTGAGGAGGAAGTCAAGGAGATTGTTAGATTGTTTAGGCAGTCTTGGCTTCTCGGTTCGTCCAATGTGACCTTGAATGGAAGGAGAGTAACAAGGATTATAATGAGACATACAGCTACTGATTAATCAGGTTCTTCATTTTTTTAAACACAGCAGTGGTTTGTAATTTGTATGTCTTATTGGACTCTTATTTTTTAAATGTAGTATTGGATTCATGTTAATTGGTGTATATCAGTATATTTGAAAATGACAAACGTAGATGTAATCTTAGGAAAGATTGTAGCTACTCTTTTCTTCCTAGTTTTGCATTGATTTAAAGTGTCTGTGTTAGCCATGGATGGAAGTCATGTAACTAGCTTTTAATTACCAAGTCATGTAACTAGTTTTTATGGTAATTAATGCAGCAATATCCCGGGAGGGATATGCTTGATGAATGCAACTTAAAATGTTAACTTTTTAACATTTTCAGTTGAACTGAAAATATTACGAAGAAGACCAACCGAAAATATTATGAAGAATGTGTGCAATCGAAAAATGTTAAGAAGAAGTTAACATTAGGTTGCATCCAGTCCTTTCTCTGTTGTTCCTTAACCTTTAAATTAGGTTGCTTACGGTGGTAGATCATCCGTCTGACGAAGTTCGGGGTTTACTCAACGTTGATTTAGGTCATCCGGTAACGGTTTAATCACCTTTGTAACCAAAAGAGAGAGAAATTAGGATGCCGCTTGATGTATGGTGTGAGATTTGTGGTTGAAGTTGTTGGAAAGCGATGGATTAGGGTTAGTGGGGATAATTGTTTTTTTCTTTTAAAAAAATCTCATACAATTTTAAATTTTTGTTTTGCATTTCTTTATCAGCTATTTTTATCTTAAAATTTTATGGATTTGTTTATTAACGTAAATTATGCCTTCGTATCCATCCTAAGCAGAAGATTCAGGGCAGAAGATTGAACTGGTGTTCAAAATAATTTATATAATATTTCTATGCTGATAACTATTCTTGAAATAATTTTTTAAAAGAAATTAATTTTCACTTCCAACATAATTACAATAAACTCTAGTTCGGATAATTATATTGATTAATTATTTTGAATACTTAAGCCCATGATAAAGTTTAAATTATATTGTTTTATATTTGACTTTAAAGGTATGTAAACCTTAATTTAAAAAAAATCAATTAAATTCTCTACTAAAAACAAATTCAATTGAACATTTTACAATTAAAAAATTTAATTAAAATTTTAATTAATGAAAATTATCTATAATTATTATTATTATGTTGACATGATCTTCAACGATGTGAATATGATGACCCACTTGTAATAATTGAAATGACAGAAAATTTTAAATTATTTAAAAAAACAAATTATTAAACAATTTCATCTCCTTCTTCTATCTTACATCTCATTGCTCCCAAAATTTCATCTCCTTGATATTAAATCCAATTTAAATCTGAATCTGATTTATTCATTTTCGTAATTGTTGATATTCGATGTTAGTATCTCAAGTGCACGCGATGGAATCGCCGAACTATGTATCGGCTTCGCACGAGCTGGACTCGTTTCAAAGGCAAGTTGCCGACAGATTTCATGACTTATCTTCTGTGCCTTCCGATGATTTGCTTTCTCTTCATTCGCTTCGAAAGTTGCTCGACGTTTTCCTTAGTTGTCAAGAGGAATTTCGGGTCATCCTTTTTAACAACAAAGCTCAACTGACCAAACCTCCCCTGGACCGTTTGATTGCCGAATTTTAGTAGCGTAGTGTTAAGGCCCTTGATGTTTGTAATGAGGTTCGAGATGGAATAGAACAGATCAGGCAATGGCAGAAGATGTTAGAAATTGTGCTTTTCGCTTTGGGTGATGGTAATCTTAATAATAACGGTGGTGAAAGCTGCTTTCGGAGAAGTCTAGGAGAAGGGCAAATTCGTCGCGCAAAAAAGGCGTTGATAGATTTAGCCATTTTGATGCTTGACGAGACAGATTCCGGTCAAGCTTTGGCTTATCGGAATCGTTCCTTTGGAAGAAACAATCACGGCAGCAGTCACTCCAAGGATTATCCTCATCGTTCTTTGGGTCATTTCAGGTCGTTGTCTTGGAGTGTTTCAAGGTCTTGGTCTGCGGCTAGGCAGCTCCAGGCCATAGGGAACAACTTGACTGTGCCACGAGGGAATGAGGTTGTGGCTACCAATGGACTTGCAATTCCTGTTTACACAATGAGCTGTGTTCTGTTGTCTGTAATGTGGGCGTTGGTGGCTGCAATTCCATGCCAGGATCGCGGTTTACAAGTTAATTTTTATGTGCCCAAGAAGTTTCCATGGCGGCTCCGATACTTTCTGATAAAGAAGCGGTGACGGGTTAATGAACGTTGCTTTTGTTGAATAATCAAACCTAGAAAGCTCTAGATTCGATGAAGAACAAAAGAGAATGAATAGGGGAAGGTGGCGGCAGCAGTAGGGTTCTTAGGAATTATTTTATGTGCTGGAAACAATGTAAGAAACAAGATTAAAACAAGGAAAATATAAATGAATTGCAAATAAAGTAAGATAATCAAGAAATCAAAACATCTCCCTGAACGGTGAAGATGATTGATGGCGTGGATGGATATATGAAAAATCGATGGATAATGTCCTATCGAGCCCTCCTAGTCGCAATGAAAAGGCAAACACGATAATATGACTCTAATCAACCCTCCTAATCGCAATGAAAAGGCAAATTGGAGTGTGAAAATTAATCTCCCTCACAAGAACTTGAAAGAACTCAAGGAGAAGAAGCTTCAAAGGCACAAGGCAATCAACACTTGCAAAAATCAACTCTCGTTGTATTATTAATCAAAGAAATCTTTTTTACAAAATTGAATGAAGCCTCCTTTATATAGGGGTTGAGTTCTAAATGTACTAAATAACTAAATAATAAAATAACAATAAACTAAACATGTCTTAACTCTAATTCCTAATAAAATAATAATAACTAAATATATTGTTTTAACCCAACCTTAATTCCTAATAAAATAATAAATCTGATCCTAAAAGATAATTATTCATTCTATATTAAATTATATTACAAATAATCAATATAAATATTGAAAATTCGTAATATTTACAAAATTACGTATTAATCCCGTGTAGGATTTCCTGCATGCACCGTCTTCAATAAAATGAATATATCTTGAGTTCCCGATATCGGATTGATACGATTCAAGAACCGTTAGAAAGATAAGAGATATATGGTCGTATCGCTAGAAGACATCTTGACCAAATAAGATCAGGATACCATTCAAAAAGTCATCGCAAGTATGCTTATGTTCTGATCTTCTTTTCCAATGCTTGGACGAGTGGATCATTTGGAATAGTTATTATTTCTTCCTTTGATGTGAGCCTTGTGATGCATGTATCATCCTCCCTTTCTTCAAAAAGATTTGACCTTGAATCTGAAACATTAAAGGGAGAAACATTAGAATCGTTTAATGATTCATTCACATTATACTTACCGAATAGATATGCTTTGAATCTTCGAGACTTTGTTCTTCTAATAGGTTCGAGTAGAAACATTAGTCCAAAGAAGCATGTATTATGGACCCTGGTGCATGTATCATTCCCCCACTCCTCAAAAGGGTTCATCCTCGAATATGAAAATCCAAAAGAAAGAGAATTAGATGTGTTGAAAGAAAAACTTGTGAAACATTTACCAGGATCAATGTGATGTGTCTTTATGCGTTTTAGTCGAGGTTTCTTCTTTTTAGGAACTGATTTCTTGTAGTCTTGAAATCCTCTTTTTCATACAAGTCTTGTAATATGATGTTTAGGTTGAAATTCAACATGACGCCGACCACTGTTGGCTTTATGTATGATTGCTTCAGATAATTTCCCCATGGTTTTATTCTTATGTGGTGAGAATGAGTGTTTAAAAACCATGTTAATTGGTTTGTTAAAGTAATCCCTTAAGTCTCCTAAGTGTGGTTCATGAATTAAGAATTTTCGAGAGGAGATTTGTGGACTGTAAAACCTGTTTAGTTGGCAAGTAAACTCAAATACAAGATAAAACTCATTAGAAGCACTTTTAAAAGTATGGGTAGAAATATAAAAAATATCCGAGTTATTGTGATATACATCTTTGATATGTTCAATTCTCGGCAAAGTAGTATGTGTTTGATAGGTAAGAGTATACCTTCGTGGTAGTGCATCGTCGACTGTGTTTTGCTTACCTCAGGTTGTTACGTACTTAAAGGAGTTGTGTTTAATATGGATGAAAACTTCACGAGCCTTACCTTGTAAAAAGGAGAAGAAATATGTTACAATGTCATTAAAATGAGTAATAAAATACTTACCTTTGGACTCCCGTAAATCGTGACTCTTCATTGATATGGCATAGTGATTAGGGTTTTTAGGTGGTAACCCATCAGGAGGGTCACCTAACATTATTCGACAACTCTTAGCGATGGAAGATGGTGTGGGCCAGTCTCGTGCTGCTTTTACTTTTTCATCATTTACATGGATTTCCTGTGCACGAACTATAAAGCCTGTGGAGTTGTTCAAATCATGTTTCATCGTTAAGATGGCGTCTGGACTAGGGCTTTCGTAGATGTAGCCTTTTCGTAAAAAATCTAACTCTTTGGTTTCTTCAATATTGTATGTTTGACGAGGTATGATGGAACCTTGAATTAGATTGGTTTGGTGTTGTTTTCTTCTTTTCGGTGGTAATTCTTTAGGTGGATCACCTAACACTTCTTGAAAATCCTGTAACAAAGATGAAAACACACTAGGCAAATCCTTGTTAATGTTAGAAATCGAAACAATTGATTCCCTAAAGTGAACAAGGATGGAAGGTTGTTTGTAAAGAAGGTTCTCTCTCAATTCTTTTGTGATCACACATTGATTTTGAGTCACTCTTTTCTTCTCACATTTAGGTTCACCACCCATGGGTCATTATTCTTTTGGCTTTTGTAACTAGTGACCTCTTTTGATTTTGCCTCTTTCTCATCTTTTTCTTTTTTTGCTTTCCCTACCTCCTCACAAATTATCATTTAATCTTTAGGGGCTGGAAGTGTGTCATTCTTTGCTGGTCGTTCTTTCTCATTGTCAAGTTTGTCATCTCTTGGTTTTTTTATAGAAGATGGAGTAGAAGATAAGGAAGGATATGAAGGATTACCTTCATAAGAGGATGAAGTACCTTCGTAATGTTCTCTGACTCGGAATCTCCTTTGGATTTGTGATTCGATTGACATTGCTTTCTTTAGTGTATCTTCAAGGTTTCCATACCCATGAAGGTCAAGAAGATCAGTTATGTTTGAGTTCAAGCCGAAGATGAATCTTGACACGGTGACCTCTTCTTTTTCGGTTATGTTAGCTCTATTGAGCAAGGACTGCATCTCCTTGTAGTAGTCTTGAACTGAACTTCTACCTTGCCGAAGTCGATGTAGTTGTAGTTTAACTTCTCGTGTATAATGTGTTGGTAGGAATCACTTCCTTATGATTTGTTTGAGGTCCGTCCAAGAAGTGATCGTTGGAATTTGGAAGTTCTGGATCTTTTTCCTTGTTTGCATCCACCAAGTTCGAGCATATCCTTCGAATTGCATGTTGATAAGGGAACTTGTTTAGCTTGAGGGTAGTCATGGTATACGAACGTGAGATCAACTTTTCCTTCCCAATTGATGTACCTATCCGAATCGTTGTCTCTTTTGAAAGACGGGATCATGAACTTTGGTTTTGCAAAGAGTTCGGGTGCTTGAAAACGTGGTTGTTCTCGCCTGGGTACCAAAAGTTCAGAATTGTTTGTTCTTGGATTTTGGTTTAATAGATCTAGTTGTGGTTCTTGTCGTTCTCTCACAGTATTGGTAACTTCATCAAATCTTTCAACTTGAGTCTTAAGTCGTGCAAGTGTGGCTAATATAGCCGTAAGTGTCTTGTTGTTATTGTCTTCCATCCTGAAATCATAACACTCAAAAGAAAATTTTAAAATAAAATAAAAATAAAAGAAAGAAAATTCAACAAAGCAAGAAACCTCACAAGTCACTTCAAGAAAGTAACACAACGAGAGGCAAGTAAGCCGATCTTGTACTCTTTAAAACTCACTTTACCAATTAGTCTTCCACAGTTCGTATCGGAGTTTGACTACTAGCAAAGGCGATAAGAAAAACCTAAAAGCTCTAAGAGGCCAAACAAGGGTTATACTTCAAGAGAACGAGAATGCAAAGAAGGAAGAAGTATGCAAACTCTTTAGTCCTACTAACACAATAAATATAATGTGTTAGATAATGCAAAAGAACAATAAAAGGAAAAACAAAAGAACCTAAAGCACTAAGAATCAAAGAAAAAAAAGAACCAACCCAGAAACCTAGAAAATGTTGAATGAACTTGAGCAACGTTTTTGAGGGGGTTACCGGTGTCCGAAAATTTTGGAAAAATTCTTGAATGTCTTTTGACGCGTCAAGAAACTACATGTCAAATTTTAGAACAAAATACCTTCAGTAGTATCCAGTAGACTCTGTTGAATGGTGAGTTCTCAAATAATCTGTTTTTCTTGATCGCTTTGTTCGAAGGTATTCTTGATCTCCAAAAAATCTTATTTTTTGTGTAAATGATCTTAAATATATGAAGTTGCAATCTGAAAATTTTCACCACGAGAATCATGCTGTATAAATTTTAAGAAATTCGACAAGATCCTAGACCGAATCAGCCGATGAAACTTGAAGGATGTATTTGAAGGCTCTAATGAACTCCGATTTAGATGAATTTTGGACTGGAGATTTCTATTAGGATGAATATGATATCTGGAGAAAATCAACCCCAAATACCTTCGTTTGCAATTTTTTGAAGTTTTGGCATTTTTGTTTTTTTTTGCCTTTTTTGTTTTTTTTTGTTTTTTTTGAAAAAATAGCAAACTAACAAGAATGATTTGAATATAAATTGAAATTAAATAACAAGAACCTGAAACGATGAATCTTCTCTGAACTAACTCCGTTGGGATACCTTGAAGGTTTTGTGTGCAAGATTGCTTGCTTCTTTCCAAGAATCGGCCCAAATCTGATACCAATTGATAGGGAAGCGGTGACGGGTTAATGAACGTTGCTCTTGCAGTAATAGGGTTCTTAGGGATTCTTTTATGTGCTAGAAACAAGGTAAGAAACAAGATTAGAACAAGATAAAGAAAAAGATAAAGGAATTGCAAATAAAGTATGATAACCAAGAAATCAAAATATCTCCCTTATGAAGGTGAACGGTGAAGATGATTAATGGCGTGGATATATATGTGAAAAATCGATGGATAATGTCCTATCGAGCCCTCCTAGTCGCAATGAAAAGGCAAACACGATAATATGACTCTAACCAACCTCCTAGTCGCAATGAAAAGGTAAATTGGAGTGTGAAGATTAATCTCCCTCACAAGAACTTTAAAGAACTCAAGGAAAAGAAGCTTCGAAGGCACAAGGCAATCAGCACTTGCAAAAAATAACTTTCGTTGTATTATTAATCAAAGAAATCTTTTTTACAAAGTTGAATGAACTCTACTTTATATAGGGGTTGAATTCTAAAGGTCCTAAATAACTAAAGAATAAAATAACAATAAACTAAACATGTCTTAACTCTAATTCCTAATAAAATAATAATAACTAAATATATTGTTTTAACCCAATGTTAATTCCTAATAAAATAATAAATCTGATCCTAAAAGATAATTATTTATCCTATAAGATAATTATTCATCGTAAAAGATAATTATTCATCCTAAAAGTTCTTGTGAACTGTTGAGGGAGATTTATCAAGTTGAGAAGTGTTCGCGATTGTTGGGTGAACTTGTCGACTCTGTTCAGTTTCTGTTGAGCAAGGAGACGGAAGTGGAGGTTAGGCAGAGAGCGAAGGAATTGAGCAACTTTTGCGAAGCAATGAAGGAAGGTTTAGAACCATTGGAAAGGCAAGTTAGGGAGGTGTTTCATAGGATCGTTCGGAGCCGAACTGATGGTCTTGACTCTTTTGGAAGGGGACACAATCCCGAATAAAACACTGTTGGTGGGTCGGGTTTGGTTTAAATTTTAAGTGTCAAATGTGCAACTTCCAAATATGTTTTGATTTTGGCTTGGACGGAACTCCATCATGGAAAAGGAGATGAAGTTGGATAAGGAATGGAGGAGGACTTCGAGGCATGCGCCACGAAAATCTGAAAAATGAAAAAAGGGTATGGAGGAAAACAAAAGGATGAATTTCTTATGTCTTAAATTTGTGTTGTTATGTCTTATGTGTAATCAATTAATTTCTCAGTAAATTTGCATATTGTTTCTGTAGATGATTTTTTGTTCAAAAATTTGTCTATTTCTCAGTGTTATATACCTTTTGGGCGTCTTTGTTAATACTCAGCGCTTAGCTACAATAATAAGATGAACGCTTATGAATGAATGTTCATTTTTTTGCCAAGTTTTTGGCCAAAATTGTATCTACGGTATGAAATGCAAATTTTTGTATGATGGTTTCTTCATGAAAACACTATCTATTTGCTCTATCGAGCTTATACCTAGTGTTTGCAAGGCTTGAGTTGAGTTGATTTTATCATTATCTCTAGCATTTTGAACATCTGATACTTCTTTAAAGCAGAAATGGTCATTTCTGGTTTGCTTTCTACCCCGCTGTCGAGTAGGATTGTTGAGAAAATTTTGGTTGTGGCATTTCATCTTGGTTGAAGTCCTTGGACCAACTCTTGCCGTGCACTCGTATTTGTGGCCCTTGTCTGGAGAGAGTTGCAGGACATCAACTCGGTCTGTGCAAGCAGAATTTTATTGTCCAGTGGTGAGTAATGCAACGTGTCACGTTTGCTGAATCCAGTAGTGGAGCGATGATGATTGATTTTAGTGTTGGATGTGTGTGGTTTAGACATCTGTAGTCTTATAGCAAGAGCTACTGTAACTATTGTGGAAGGGGACTCACTGTCCCATTTGTTGATAATATGCATGGTAGGTGGAACATAACATGTGCATTCTCGAGATGGAGCATATTTAACCCCTTTTGCTACCCCACAACTCTGCTCCTTGCAACGCTTCAAAGGTTGTATAAACCCTCAACTTTTATCACTAGAAGCTCCTTGTTTTATGTATCCACTGGTAATTTTTTTTGGCCAAGATTATAAATTTGGTTTCTTGATGCCCAAGACTTTAGTTGAAGAATATATGTAGTTGCCAATCCTGGTAAGTAGGCCACATGGTGTGTGCTTTTCATGTGGCCTTGAAAATAAAGACCCCCACTTATCCTCCCCCCATATGTTTAGACTTTCAGATTAAACAGAAATCTCATTGGATTAATCAAATTCTTTTCTTGGCTTTTGCTGCATCTGATCCACCCTTTTTTTTATAGGATTAGGCATTAGTAACTAATTTCCCTGTCATGTCAAGATAACATTCAAAAACAATGGCTTACCAGCCGTCAACTCTAAAGCAAATTTCTCAACTTTGTACCATGTTCGGAAGGGATATCTCAGCCTGAGGTGCTTAATGTTAATTGGAGTCATGTTTGCACTCCTGAGCCAGATAGAGGAGTAGGGATTAAAGTCCTTCAAGGGTGGGGGGGGGGGAAAGCTTGCATTATTATGCTTATTAGGAACATTATGGCTAATCAGATTGCATGGGAGAATAATTATGGATAGATGTGAAATTTTATGGGAGTGATACAAACTTTTAAGATATTATATTAAAGTTTAAAGAACTATAATTTTTTTAAATAAAATATTGAATTATTAGTGAAAATATAAAATAAATAAATAATATATTAATTTGAAATTTCTTCCGACACCTACTTGATCCATCTCATTACATGAGTACATTCTCAAGTTTGATTTTATTTTACAGGTGTCAGTGAACCGAAATGCCAGCTGGTATTGGAGTCCTGAAATTGAGGGTGGAAGTTGCTGGCATTTTTTCTCATAGTGGGAATAATTTGGCAATTACTAAAATTTGGAACGCAACAAGAAGCAGATGAGCAAAACAGACTTATTTTTCTATATAATTTTAATTTAATTATTGATATTTTTATATTATTTGGTTTATTCAAATTGAAGAACACAAACATATCGGGAAAACAAATGTTTTAATTTAATTTATTTCATTTTCGAGGTCAAATTTCGAAATATAAATCTGAAAATTATTTTAAAAAATTAATATCATATATTGCTAGATTAAATTATAGTTGAACTATATTAATGTTTCACTCATATATATTTATATAAATTCAGTATTTAGGAAAATTTTACAACAATTATTTTTACTGTAGAAGTTATTTAGTATTTAGGAAAATTTTACAACGCTAGATGAGCGGCGATGAATATCAATAAATTAATCTATAAAACGTTAAAATTATAAAGTACTCAAGTATAATTATATTTTAGTTGAAAATCTAATTGTAATTTTAAATAAATTACTATTTAAATCTAACTATAATAAAAATAAGATTAAAAAATATTATAATTTATTTAAAATTACAATTAGATTTTCAACTAAAATATAATTATATTTGAATATTTTATAATTTTAACGTTTTATAGAATAATTTAAAGGTATTTATTGTTAGGGAGAAAAAAAAGAAGGTAAAAGTTACAATTAGATTTTCAACTAAAATATAATTATATTTGAATATTTTATAATTTTAACGTTTTATAGAATAATTTAAAGGTATTTATTGTTAGGGAGAAAAAAAAGAAGGTAAAAGTTGAAAAAGGTTAGCAAATGATTCCAAAGTAGGGTCTGGAATAGAGATGGACATTCCATGGCTTAGCCTTTCACACGCGCACAAATATAAATCTTATCGTCCACTTTAACCTACCTACTTTACCGTCAAAATCACTCATTTTTTTTATAAATAAATTTACAACAAAATTTAACTGCCACTCCTTTTGGGAATGTCTCAGGAAGGGTGAGTTAATATATGGCTAATATATGATATTATTATATACATTAAAAGATATTTAATAAATTTGGTTTAGTGTTACTGGAAATGTTGAGTAATAATAATATAGTAGGTCTAAATCATTAAGAAATATTAAAAAATTTAGCAACCGGCAAACTTAGCTTGTCTGTTTATGTCGATACTTTATAAAAATATATCGATTCACATCAATATAACAGGAAAAAATATGACAAAATCGGTCACGAAAAGACAAAACCGGTAAAGCGCTACCGGATATATTGCAAGTATCGCTACTTTAATATAAATATCGACACATAGTGAATTTAAAGGAGAAGCAGTTTTAGCGCCTGTAAAGTGTCGATTCTTTATAAATATGTATCGATCCACAACGATATAACATGTAAAAATATGACAACCGGTAAAAAGATATTGAATATATTGAAAGTGTCGATACTTTAATATAAGTATCGACACATAGTGAATTTAAAGGAGAAGCAGTTTTAACGCCTATAAAGTGTCGATTCTTTATAAATATGTATCGATCCACAACGATATAACAGGTAAAAATATGACAAAACCGGTCAGGAAAAGAAAAAACCGATAAAGAGATACCGGATATATTGAAAGTGTCAATACTTTAATATAAGTATCGACACATTGTGAATTTAAAGGAGAAGCAGTTTTAGCTCCTATAAAGTGTCGATTCTTTATAAAAATATATCGATCCATAACGATATAAAAGGTAAAATATGATAAAACCGGTCTCTAAATGATAAAACCGGTAAAGCGCTACCAAATATATTGAAAGTGTTGATACTTTAATAAGTACGCGTAATAAAGTATTGATACTTTCAAAGAAATAGGTAATTATACTATCGAAAGTATCGACACATGACATAAAAGTATCGACACTTTTGTAGTTGTATCGATTAAATAGAAATTACATATCCGGTGAAAATATAAAGGGCATAGTTAAATATCCTCTGAAAAATAGATAGAACGGACGAGTTTTTGAAATCGAAGCGTAATTGTTACTGCATTTCAGAAGGCGTTTCTAAAGCGAAGTTTGTTTGTTTGTTGCTGTAGTCGAATCGAAAAGTACGTTGTCAAAACCCTAGTTTTTTATTATTACAGTAATCGAAAATAAGATTTTTATGTGTTGTTTGGGATTTTCTAAGTAAAGAAGCATTTGGGATCGATTACAGGTAGAAAGTGATATTCTAGGTAAAATATAAATATCGATACTTTTATTAAATATTATAGATAGAAAATGATATTATAGGTTGTATAAATGTGCCGATACTTGGAGTATTAAGTGTTCCCATTGGTTTGAAGGAAATAGGGATTAGGGTTTTTGGGTTTGATTTGGGGATTTCGAATTGAAGCCAAGAAGGATTTGGGACCGATTATATAATATTATAGGTAGAAAATAAATATGGATACTTGTATATAATATTATACGTAGAAAATGATATTTTAGGTTGTATAAATGTGCCGACACATTTTGTAGTGGCCATTCAAATTCTTTTGAAGAAAACCGTTTTACCACAAGAGTAGTTATCTATATTTGTATATTGAATAAAGTGTATGTAACAAGTATTTGATTTGATTTGTGTAAACTGATATATGAAGGAAAAATGGAGTCAATGGGTGGAAATATTGTTGGTGGCGCAGATGAATTTGAAATTGAGTCCGAGACTCGAAAGCAACCAAAGGGTTGATATATGTACTTCTAGTAAGTATCAATGTCTTTTTGTTATTATTGTTGAAATGGTAATTGGATTAAAGTATTTAAGAACTTTAAATTGATGACAAATTTTAAATGTTGACAGTATGATCGAATGCAAAAGGATGAAGGAATGTGGCAAACACATCGGTTCGATATGTAAATTAAAATTGACATTGAGTATTATTTAGCGTTAATGTTTTGATTAAAAAAATGTTTATGCTTAATATTAGGTGAGAAATGATGTGTTGGAGAAATGAAATTCGATGAGTGATGCTGAGAAATAACCTTACATCGCATAGTCAAATATGGATAGTGAAGAATACAAAGAATGAAGAAAAGCACATGAAAAGAAGGTATTCATTAAACTTGTAAATACGTTGATACAAAATATATAAGAACTATAACATTATATATTGTTAAAAAATGTAGGAAGTGTCGACAAGG